GAGTCCAATCCAGATCCGGCCTTTTAGGAAAGTAGAGTAGGTTTAGACTTATAAAAAAGCTTTTTTTAATAAATAGGTTATAGGCCAATTTTGTCAAATCCGGCCTACAGCCTTGTAGGCTGGCCTATTTAATTTATTAAAATAAAATAATAAAATAATATTTATTTTATGTGGCAAAGACACGAAGTACCAAATACCAATATCTCTTATTTTTTGTGCTATTTTATTTTATGAAAGGAAAACTTGTCTAATGTTTCCAAATTTTACATGTTGTTGCAGCTTAATACCATGGAGCAATGGGTACCTTGCTGGATTATGATGTTATTGATGAAGATCTTTCAATAATAATCTTCTTTCCCTTGTCTTGATGGTGGTTTAAAGATTTTTAGATGAATGACATTCTCTTGTAGACTTTATTTCAGCATACAGTAATTATATTTTTCTTATTTTTTCCATTTCTTTGACTCTATTCCTCTATGATATACATTCTAGAGCTGAGGTATTATGTTGACTCTTTCTTGTTTGTCATTTTTTTCTTATGAGAAGTACTAGTGCATGCATGAATGGAACTTTCTTTGCTCTATACAATTATTTTTTTTGCTTAGTATATATAGTGGGAGGCCTACAAGGCCTGTAGGGCATGTTAGGCTTTCTTATTTTTGAAAATGGGTCGGGTTTGGCCTACAAATAAAGCTTTTAATAGGCCAGATAGACTGAATTTTTTTTTACGTAGGCTTGGGCCAGGATGGCCAAAGCCCAGCCTATTTACACCCCTAGGTGTCCCTATGCCTTTTTTGGGCTACGGTTTTCAACCCCATAATAATTAAGGGCTTTTTGTTTAGGAGTAAAAAGAGTAACACCTTTTCCATGTTAGGGAGTTTTAACTCATAAAAATAACCTCAATGATTAATTTCTAGTAAGATCACCAAGATACATTATTTGGATTTGCAATTTAAATAAACAATTAAATAATTACTTGACACTCGATTTTTTTTATTATGATGATTATATGTCTCAAATAATTATTAAAATGTGATATCCGAAAAGATATAATCGTATGAATTTTTTAATCAGAACCTAACTTAAAATTTTATTGATCTTTTTTTTTATAAAGAGAGTAAAAATGTGGGATTTATAATTCATTTAAAAGCTTCAGTTAAAGCATATTTAAAAATAAGATTCTTAAATGTTAGATGCTAGGAATCCAACTTTACATTGATACAGTGTATAAAGTAGTTTATATACAGTATCCAAAAAAAAAATAGTTTATATACAAAACCGATAAATGGTGATAGTTAATTTAACATTTTCGTATAGGGTGCAGCTATTATTAATATTAACATTCATATATTCACTTAAATAATGATAGTGTAGTTGACATCAGAGAACAAAGAACTGAGTTGGTGATGGTGAGAGTATGTATTTGATTATCTTTAGTACCGTCTTTAGAAGGGATTTAAAATTTTAATTCCAATACGTGCCCCGAATCAGATTAGTCGCAAAATAATGAATCGATTGAAATATTTAAAAAAAATAAAAAAATCATATATTCGTACAGATTAATAATTGTCTTAATCAATATCAATAACTTCAAGTACAATAAGTTCAGACTCTTTAAATAAGTTAAACGGTATAATCGTATGATTTTCATTTTTATTTTAATCAGAACTCTTTAAATAATTTCACCATATTCTGAAACATGTATTTGCACTCCTAATTCCAGCCTTTATTTACTATTTCATGTATTTAATCAATTTCTGGCTGCTTAAACTTTTTAAATTGATTCAACTGAATGAGTAAACGATATTTATTACTCATCGAACCCTAAATAATTAATTGTGGACATTACCTTCTTATGGATATCAAATTTAAAAATATATACTTTGTTTGACATGTCTTTGGTTACATAATAATGGAATAGATTATTTTACTTATTTTTTTTTTTTCTGTCTATGTTTGCTTATCATTCTAAAAGATCATTAGATCATAATCTTGATTAAAATTTATCTTTCTCTCTCCTCTTTAGATTCTGATATAACGGTATCCGAGAGTAGTAGACAGATAAAATAATAGGTATTTATATTCAGACTATAAATTATGCAAATTGATAGAGAGAGGGGAGGTGAGAGAAAGAGTGTGGGAGACACGAGAAAAAAGGGGGAAAATATTTATTTTATTTTGCAAATTTCCATTGTAAGGTAGTTGTAAGAATCTGCACTGTTAATTAAGGAATTTAATTAATAAATTATGAGAAAATAGGAAATGATTCCATAATTAACCCTAATAATTATTTTGAGGCTTTCATAATTATAGTAAGTGAGTAATAATGCTGAAAGTCGCTTTTCGGAAGAAAAATGCAGATACCGGTTCTGCTAGTCGGTATAAATGAGTATCGAAAAAGTATCTCAGAAAATTATAATGAGTACATGATAATTACTAGAATAATATGTAGGACATGTAAAATGAGTTTCAAGTCCAAATAATGAGAACTGGTGCTAGAAACCGGTACTGGCTTGGAAAAGCGCGTACCAGAAAAATGCTCAGAAAATTATAAGAAAAATATGATAATTCTTGGAAAAATGTTTAGTTTCAGATTCCAAAGTTTGGGATTAAAATGCTAAGCGTAGCAATTAAAGTTAATACTGTGTGTTAATTGGGTAAGTGACTATAAATACTCATTTCTAAGGGCACAATGCCCTAGAAAACAGATTTGAACGTGAGTGTGTGAGGGTGGCTGACCAGCTTGGCTGCTCCTTGGGGTTTCTTCTCCATTTTGGGTCCAAGAAACTTTCTTTCTTGATTTTCTTCACACTTTCACTTGGGAAACACTTGGTGAGGGTGAGAGCTAGCTTTGGGACTCTATTGCTGGTCTTTTCTGAGTTGAGAGAGCTGCTGTGTGTGAGGTTTTGAGGCTGACTTGAGTTGTTTGTTTGTGGGAGCCTTTGTTTTGACACTGAGAGGTCCAAGAAGCTTCCTTTGTGTTGAAAGGTCCAAGCTTGTTGATCCATTTTCGTGTACCTTGTTGAGTCAGTCTTGAGGGGCTGATTGTGAGCTCCAATGAGCAACCTCTTCTTCTGTTTTGAGCTGGGGTATGTGTACCAACCTTTGAACTTGAGTTCCATGCTTTAAAAATGAAAGCTTGATGCATCTAAAGGCTGAAAGATGATAACTTGTTGTTGGGTAATGTTGAACACACCTAGAAATGCATGTTTAGGTGCTTAAAATCAGTAAAAACCCAGCCTTGATGGATATCTTCACGAAATGCAGTTTCTGCATTCTGTCGTGAAATATCCGGATATCTGCCCGATGAATATCCGGATATGTGATATCCGGATATGGGATTTGGGTATCCGGATATCCAATATCCGGATATGGGATTCTGGATATCCGGATATGTAATATCCAGATATTTCCAGTGAGATATCCGGATATGTGATATCCGGATATGTGATATCCGGATATGGTCCCGAGGAATATCCGGATATTTTGGGATTTCGAAGAACAGTGGCTGTGCTGTGTGTACAGTAGGCTATTGGGGGTTTGTGGACCCTAGATTGATGAAGTGGAACTTCTATAATTAATGAACTAACTCAGAATCGTTGTGATTAAGGACTTATTGCTTGGCATGGAGCCTTAAGACGTAAAACATAAGGAAAGGCATTGTCTTTAATTTATATGCTTGTGTCGCATTATTATTGATATAGAATTGGTCCATAACAGATTGTGAATCTGTTGTGTTTGGACTTTGAGCTGTGGACTCTTGGCCTTGGGTGTTAGCTTGCAAGGTAAGCTTTCGTGTCCTCGGTTTAGCCATGTTGTGGTTCCACCATGTCCCATGGGGGTGTGGTTGTATGCATGCTGTGTTACATGCTTTGAATATTTGAAATGCTGATGAGCTTTATGTGTAATGGCTTTTAATATGCATGTGTTGTTTCATCTTAACGGTAAGCCTGTGTATGTAGCGTCATACGATATGGTGATCCGGGGTGAATGCAAGTAGCGTATTGCACTAGTGTGGGTATTTGCGTATGTAAATCCTGCATTTCTTTAGCCAGTAGAATAGAATTGACACACATGACATGATTATATGCTGCATTGCACTATTTTAGAACTTGTGATGATATCTGCTTTTAAACTTATATTGCACATGTAAGTGAGCTTGAGGTGGAAGATCCTTGAGGACCCCTTGTCTTACTGAGATTTCTTGTTTAGAGATCTCACCCCACGTTTGGGGAATGCTTATTTCAGGTTCCGGTAGTTTGGTGACTGATGCCTCTGGGGGCAGGAGGCTAGAGCTTAGTTGATGATATTATGCTGTTTGCTGCCATGACTGGTTATGGATGTTGTTTATGTTTTCCGTTATTTATGTTTACGTTGTTGTTGAGACTGATGTTGGGCGTGTTGCCTTATTTGAGTGAGCATGGGGATTGTCCATGACACTTTATGTTAGTATTTTAGATTGGAGTTGTATAAACTGTTAGATGGTCCGGTCTACGTTGTTGTAGTTCCGTGACTAGAGCCACACTTTTATTATTTATGTTATGAGGTATTTTCAGATAGCTGTTCTATTGCAATTACATACAGACGTTGTTTTATTAATTGATTAATAAGTAAGTTGGTAATGATAATGATATCATAATTGAAAATAAAAAGATATTCCACATTTTTAATTAAGCGCTGCTTAATACGATAGTATGATAACATTACCGGATATATACGGGCTGTTACAGTAGTCAAAATAAGAGTACGCATAATAACTTATCTCTATTTTTTATTAAATTAATTTATGTGTATCTTACTAATAAATCTTTTCTTGTAGAAATTAAATATAGAGATAAACTATTGTGTTTATCTTTTTTTTCATGTCTATTTTATTTATTCATTCTCGACACTATTGGATAAGAAAAAGAGAGAAAATGGTGAATATTATTTATATATGTGTTAGAAATAAATGATTAAGGTAAAGATTAAAAAAAGATCTTTATCCCATGAATGGAGATTTTAACAGGCCATTCCCCGCCACGGAAACAAAACGCAGAGACCTGAAACCTGGAAAGACAAGAGGATTAGAGGAATGGGAGTAGAATGGGCTGAACTACAGCCAGAAATTGTGGAATTAATCTCGAAAAGCTTAACCATTTATGCCGATTACCTTCGATTCCGATGCGTGTGTCACAGCTGGCGATCCTCCCTCCCCAAAACCCCTCTCCATCTCCCACCCCAACTCCCCTGGCTCATGCTTTCTTCCCGAGCTTTCTTCGACCTTTCTAACAACAAAACCCATCTCCTCAATCTTCCCTTATCTTCTCATCGCACCCGAATCTGCGGTTCCTCTCATGGCTGGCTTGTTATTCTCGACGAAACCCCCGAGGTTCGTCTTTTAAACCCCATAACACGTGCCACAATTGCTCTTCCTCCACTTTACACTTTCCCAAACGTTACGAGTTTCAATTATTCTAATATCGGCCGAGAATACTTAATTAGAAACCCTTATGGTGGCGTCGATGCTTTCAATTTGAGGCAGATGTGTAATTCTTTCCTCAGAAAGGTTGTACTGTCATCGAGCCCATCGCAAAGCGATGATGATTTCACTGCATTTGCCATTGCTGGTCATAATAATTTGGCCTTCTGCAGAAAGGGTTATGATTCTTGGGTTTTCGTAATTGAAGAACTATATTCTTGGGAAGATGCTGTTCATCATAATGGGTTGTTTTTTGCGGTGAGCAAGGGAGGAATAATTGCAGTGTGTGATGTTGATGGTTCTTTCCCACCTCATGTATCGATTATTCAGACAACAGCTCCGATGCAATTCTCTGGTGATATCCATTATATAGTGTTTTCTGGGGAGGACATGTTATTGGTCACTCGGATTCTAGAACATGATTTTTCTGATGAAGGAGATGAATCGAATTTGGTGTATAGGACGGTGGGGTTCGAGATTTTTAAGATGAATTGGAGTTTGCTGAAGTGGCAAAAAATTGAAACTTTGGGCGACCGCATGTTGTTTATTGGGGGAAATTCTTCGCTTTCTTTTTCTGCTTCTGATTTTGTGGGATGTTTTGCAGATTGCATCTATTACACTGATGATTATTCGGAGTCTAATCACGATGATGCCTATGGGAAACATGATTTAGGCATCTTCAGATTATGGGATCAGAGTATTGAGCCGTTGCCCTGTTATCCTCGGAATTCATATTCTCGGTTAGGTTGGCCTCTCCCAATTTGGGTTTCGCCAAATCCATGCTAATTTGGGAATCTCAATGTGTAAGTTTAGTTGTTTGTGTTTGTATGTATCTGGGTTCCTTCAAGGGGGGGAAATTACTCTTTTATATTTAAGCCAAATAAATAAATGCCTTATGATCATGGATAGCAGCTTGCCTTATTGGATGGTATATATTCATGTACATTGTACTATGGAAACATGGAACTGTAAACGAGTAAAGTTATTTTCAGGTGGCCTTTGTGATACATATGGTAACCTGTTTTATTGTAAATTTGTAATGTATGACTATTTAAATAGTTGGTGAATTTGGTTTGGATTAGATTGAAAGAGAGATTGTTTTATGCTTGATGAAGAAGGAATTCTGATGTGAAGAAGATAATTACCAACCAATCAACCATTAACACGATGTTTTGAGTTATTGAACATATATTGTGTTTTAGATTTCAAACTTCTCGGTTTAACTTTATTAGAATGGGGCACCGTGCCTCATCGTGCGTACTGAATATATGCATAACTATGGTTTTGTTGATGCAGCAAATTTAGTAATGTTTAACAATGAAGTGATGAACAGTATACATACTTTGTTTTTTAACTCCTTGAAACGAAACTTTCAGTATCCTGTTTCTCTTTTAACAGGGAAGAGGAATTTTCCTTGAAAGCGCAGGAACAAAAAAGATGGGGCATTCCGAGAATCGAACTCGGGACCTCTCGCACCCAAAGCGAGAATCATACCACTAGACCAAATGCCCAGTTGCATATTGACACGTTGGTGATACTAATCATTCAGATTTAGAACTTCTGTTGAGTAGTCGACCTAGACTATCAGCCATTGACAGTTGCATTTGGTTTGGGCTTTGCTTTCTGGCCTATGTATAAAAAGGCTAAGCAAACTTGTATTATTCATTAGCACTTTTAAACGAGTCAGTAAAATTGGAACACTTGCATGGATAAAACTATTAAATATATCAATTATACTGAAATTTTTGTTCACAGTGGTTATTTAATTTATACTAAGTAATTACTAAAAGTGATTACTTATTTTTTATTATATTTACACATCTAAACAATTTATTTAAAAAATAACTAATTAGTCTAATCTAATACAAAACGACCAATAGCTGTAGTGGTGTACATACCGCTCAAAATTGGCGTGTGATCCTGGCGTGTGATCCTGGCGTGTATAAAAATATTTTTAGCAAGTGATGATAGTTCAGTTAGGATCAAAGAATTAAGTAGGTGGGGAGGAGAGCATATGTTTGATCCTCTCCACTCCTTAATACCGTTTTCGGGAGGGATTTAAAGTCTTAATCTCATGATCAGTCCCAAATATGACTAGTCACAAAGTGATGAATCGATTAGAATATCTCAAATATATATATATATGTAAATATTTTTAAAAGCGGGGTAATTATTTTTTTATTTTTAAGGAAAACAGTCTGAATTACCTTCACAGACTTAAAAGTTAAAACTCTATATTTTGGATTTTAAACTTAAAAAATGTGCAACTGCAACGTAATTTATGAAAACCTTAAAGTGTATGTTTGAGTGTTGGTATAGTTCATACTTCAGATATATAGATCACGACTTTTGTTGGCGTAACGAGCAGAAAGTCAATTTATTAAGTTCACGAATAGTTGTTGTTAGGATTTCAAAATTTTATTTATATTTCTTTTGTAAACTGAGTGACTTGTAATAAGTGTCAGCGAGATGAATATAATACAGACAAGTTTGACGTAACTTACATTGAGTGAGCCAAGATAAATCATTGTGTTCAATTTGTGTTTGTGGATTCCCAACAAAAATTTCTTCAAATGTGATTAGAAATTGTCACTTTTTAAAAAGTTTAACAATAAAGTACACTTAAATAAAAGTTAAAGGGCATATTTTAAATTATCTCGTAAAAAAAATTGGCATGAAAATAATAATGTGATTTGAACAAGATACTTTCTATTAATATTTGATGAAAAAATAGATAAAAATATTAAAATACATACTTTGAAAAGTTTTAAAAATAGATTGCCTAATTATGAGTTGAGGATTCAAGTGCAGGACTTTAAGTTACAATTAAGCGGTAAATTAATTTTTTTTCCTTTTGTTTTGTATGGTACTTAAATATTTAATGATTACAATTTATATTAGGAACACGAACAATAAATATAATCGAATTTTATATCACACATTTAAGTTTTTAAAGAATTTGAAAAGTACTACGTTAGTACCTTTTGGTGTATGTAGTTTTTTTCTTTTTAGGGTAAAGTTCGTACACACAGTTCATTTAAATATAAATATTTACTAAATTACCTAACCAACTAAGACCTTTTTAAATATTTGAACTGAAAACTTCTCTTCACAAATCTCAAATGAAAGCCTACTGCAAACATTTTCCCATAAAATAAAATAAAATAAGTGTCATACTCTCGAGTCTCGAGCTGCGGGTTTTATTTCTGTTTATTAATTAATTAGTTTGTAAAAATGAAAGATCGGTCTTGTATTTGCCAGGTCAGCAATGATAGACCACTCAGTCCAGGTTATAGACGGACGGCCGAAACATTTTTAAAATGGATAAGATGATCAGCAAACACATGAATTGGATATTCCAAGAGTATTATCAGCAACAAAATTTAAATCCCTGTATTTGGGTATGATATTTTTGGAGTAACCCATATATTTTTTTGGGGTACATAGCATGAAAGGACTGAAATTTTCTGTTCTCTCTGTCTGTGTTTAATCATATTCTCTCAAATAAAATATTTTTAAATAATAATCACAGCTCTTATTTACCTAATTAGTAGGAATTTTTTCATTAAATATATTTTATTAAATGAAAATTTAAAAAATGAGACCCAAAATTCCAAATTTCAACAAACTAATCAATTAAGACAATTTAGCTACAATTAATCATAATTTTTAATAGCGGTTGTTGCATAATTTGATAAATCAAAGTGATGAGATTCACTTAATTATTCAAAAGTTAATGGTGATGTTGACTCATTTTAATAAAATTCCTGAGTATTTAATATTTTCCGTAATCAGATGATTAATACGAACCACAATTAAAGAGTGTTAAAAAGTTATTTTTAAAATATATAAAATTATACAAAGGTCTATATCAAAAAATTAATACAATATTTTATAAATTCATAAATAAATATTAATTTCTCTACACAAAACATGATTTATAATTCAAAATTAAATACCTTCTTATCATCAAAGTACCAGTCAATATCTTATTTTTATGTTCGTTTAGTAAAACGGTTTGAATATGGTCCTTAATTATTGCTTTTTCCTTTCAAACGAAGTCACAAGTAGCTTAGCATTATTAACATTAAGGTGCGTTTCAATTTTATCGAAAGCGTTATTTATAAAAATAAAAATAAAAACTACTTTCAAGTACAACTAAACTCTAATAAAAAAAAAATCCAAAGTAAACTTTAAAGCATCATACAAAATGTTAAGAGTAAATATATGTATCATGAAATGATTCTTTGGTGTAGAGGAAGATACGTTTCAGGCATTGAAGAGCACAGCAGTCAGAAGCACAAGTGCATGTCAACGCTTGGAAGCTGAACACAAACAAGGTGGTGCAGCAGAGAAATGTCAGGCTACGAATAACACGAGAAGAGGGAGAAAAAAAGAAAGAAAGAGGAAAAGCGTGTAATCATGAACATATTCTGAGATAAAATTAAATATAAGAGCCTTAGGACTTTGCACCGTACTTAAAAAACCATCCACAATATCAGAAAAAGCCAACCCTGCTGCGTAACCGTTCCCCCCCACGCGGCAAAACCATCCTTCTTTTAATTCTCAGCTTTGGTCAGACTTGTCTTTCCTTAATTGCCATTCTCATTTTCTCATCTTGGAATTTTCATTCCTTTATTTTTTTTCTTTCTTACCTATTTACTCTCGTCACATCATATCTATCTATCTGCCATTTATGTGCTTTTTCAAAACACAACCAAAAAAAAAACCTTTCTTGAACTTTCCTTCGCCACTCAACCTCTGTTCTTTTAGATTTGCAGCGGGAAGGGTTCACCGTCGCTGTGCTCGGAATGTCATCGGAGGCGAGAAGCAAGGGCTGCACTATTGAAGAGGGCAAGCACTACCCTCCACCATTTGCCTCTCATGAGGACGTGGTTAACCATCCTTCTGTCTTCTGGGACACACTCAGGCGTTTTCACACTGTTATGGGTACCAAATTTATGTAAGATTCTATTTCTTCATTTATTTATTCTCATAATTTTTCCTGAATAATAAAAAAAAGAAGAAGTAATGGGGTTTTTAGTATAACATCACTAGACTATACTAATGTACTGGAAATGTGATTTTAATTTTACGGGGCTAAGCTTTTTATTTATTTATTTAACTCAAGCTTTTTGATATGGGTATTTTGTGATATTAAATCTTTGACCTTTTTGCCCACATCATCTGCTTAAGGATTCCTGTGATTGGAGGGAAGGAGCTGGATTTGCACGTTCTTTACGTGGAGGTTACGAGGAGAAGTGGCTATGAGAAGGTGGGCTCCGTTGTATTTATATTTTTATTACTATTAAATTGAAGTAGTTTAATGTGGGGTTACCATTATACTTTTTATCGTGACAATCTTGTATGTGAAAACACATAAGAACTATTGAATTGAAATGGAAAAATGGAAGTAATCGAAATAGTAAGATCTTTGGCGCAAAAACAAGATGAGGCCGTATCATATTGACTTGGGTTCTTACCGTCCGTATAACCTGTGTAACTCACTCCAAATCAGTTATTAGTAAATTAATTTTTGGGACATTTTTTTGGTAACTCCAAGAAGTTTTTTAAAGTGCAGGTGGTTGCAGAGAAGAAATGGAGGGAAGTAGGTAGTGTATTCAAGTTCTCCCCAACAACCACAAGTGCTTCTTTTGTACTGAGGAAACACTACTTCAGTCTTCTTTACCATTTCGAACAAGTCCACTTCTTTAGAGTTCGGGGTCCTTTGTACACTCCTTCAGGTACTCTACTCTCATGTATATGCTTTGTGTTTTTCATTTTTCTCATAAAGACAAAGGCTGGTTTAATTTTTCTTTTGGTTTTATGCTTTGGCAAACGAAATTCATATATACGAACCAATTTTATTGTCATGCAGATGCATTTTCTGGCAACAGCCAGTCGTGGAGACCTGAATTAGCTATGGTGGCATATTCACCTAAGGGGATAAACATTGAATCCCATGCTGAAGGTAATTAAGTAATTCTCATGTCTGAAAAGAAACCAATAATTTTATTTTATTTTTCTTCTTTTGGGGTTACTTTTAAGTATATTTTGGAAGTACTATCTTTGAGAAATGATTTTGATTGCGGGTGTCCCTGCTGTGCTTTGATAAATTGATATCTGGTGGCTAACTAACGAAATTCGATTTCTCGTGGAAGTAGAGTTTTGACTATTCGTTGCATTTTTCTTCTTAGAGATATGTTTGTTGTAATGCTGTTAAGGATGGCTTCAACATGGGAAATATCTGGTTAATGTTATGTAATTGTAATTTGAAATGAATAATGATGTGACCAGAATATTGTCGTACATGCTTGTCTTAAATTGGCAATGAGATTAATTCGGATTTAAGTTTATAGTTAATGATGCCAAAGGTTTTGTGACAGAAGCAGCCCCTCCTTTTTTAAGCTAGGAACAATGATTTGCTTATTTATTTAAGTTCCTCTATGCTTTTCAATGCTGAATTTTACTCTCTGTTGTGCGCATAGATACTTCATGTCTTTTGGGAGATGGAACGATAGAAGGAAAATTTGATTGTGGTTACTTGGTGTCTGTGAAACTGGGTTCTGAGGTTCTTAAAGGAGTGCTTTACCATCCAGAGCAATCTGCTCCTCTTCCATCGGTTCTGCAATATGACAATGCCATTGTACCATTCAATGGCAAACCCGGTCGATTTGGTAGGAGGAGGAGAAACAAAAGAAAGTGGGACCCCAACTACCCAAAACCAAATAGGAGTGGTTATAATTTTTTCTTTGCTGAAAAGCATTACAAGCTCAAATCCCTCTACCCAAACAGAGAAAGGGAGTTTACCAAAATGATTGGCCAGTCATGGAATAGTCTGAGTCCTGAGGAAAGAATGGTAATAAATATGGTCATTTTCTTTTTTCTTAATGAGTCTTTTGTATTATTATTTACATGGTTGTTTCTGGTTGTCAAAGTTAGTTAATAGTTTTTTAATTAGAGTAATAAATTATGGATGATTGGTGAATGATGCAGGTTTACCAGAACATTGGCTTAATAGACAAAGAAAGGTACAAGAGAGAATTAACGGAGTACAAAGAGAAAATGAAGCCTGGGTATACCGCATAGTTGGCTGGTCTATAAATCTCACTGGTAGCATTTTATGGCAGCGAAAGAATTGCTTAGAAATCTATTTTGGTTCCAATGCTGACTTTTCATTTCAATCTGTTGACTGTTACATGCATATGCTTGTGGATTATGGTCAAGTCCACTCGACAGAGGTCTCTACAGGACTGTTGTTTTTTATTTTTATTTTTATTTTTATGAAAAAAAAACCTACTGTCTATTGTCGTACTCTTTGGCCAATCAAATCACCTATCTTTGATTTAGTCGATACGGATGGCAATGGAGAGGGAGAGAATATAGCGGGGCTCACATGCTTATGATTTTATTTTATTTTTAAAAAAAAAAAAAGAGATTTCAGATATGGCGAATTCTTATTTATCTGCAAAAATTTCTAAATAGTTTTATGGTTTTTTCACAGCAACGATGAACTCATGTATTACGAGGTAAGTTCAGCAGAAAAAGGGTTTTATCTTCTATCAAATGTTCGTTAAAGCAAACAGGCCTTAGGTGGTTAGATGCACCTGAAAGGGGATATAGATGCGTTGAGGAGAAATTTTTTAATAATATTTGTGTGATACTCGGAATAAAGACAAAGAAAAAAAAAAGGTATTTGTGAAAATTCTGTTAGGGGCTATTTAGTAGAGAGAAAAAAACAATTATCAAAAAATTATAATTTTTGAAAATATGATAGAGGGAGTGAATTTTGTGAAAATATTATAAAATTTTTTATTTGATAGGTCAAAATATTTTTTTAAATATTAAATTAATTTTTTTGATATTATATTTAGTTATTTTTGGCTGAAAAATTAATCTATATTTTTTTATCGTATGTAATTGTACAGAATAAAACATGAAATTTTAAGAAATTCATGATTACTTTCGAACATTTAAAAATAATCCTTTACCAAATACCTCATGTGATATTATTTGACTATTGATTGATTGATGCTCTCGCTCTCGCCCTCGCCGGTTACTGTATGCGAGAAATATTTAATATGTTCCAGGATCATCTAATGATTTGGTGCTTCTTCTCACAACACTAATTTTTTTTTCTTTTTCTTTTGTTAATTTTTTTTTTTTTCAATTTTGCTCTTCCATTTACATTAAGGAGGTCAATAAATTCTCTCACTGTATGCACCAGTATCATTGCTTACGTATCGGGTTTTCAACATTGACCTTCGCCGAATTGTTTATTGATATATATGTCAGAGGATTAATGATTTTATGTTATAAAAAATAATTATTATTCTATATATATATATATATATATATATATATATATAAGTGCATAAATTTTATGTAAGGTCATATATATATATATAAATATAAATTTTGTATATTTTTATGTGTATAGAAAATAAAATTAATTTTAAATATAAATAATAATTTCATATATTAAAAATGTAACATCTTTTATCTAAGAATGGGTTAACGGTTAGCTTCGTGCACTTTGAAAAAAGTATAATATAATACTAATTTTTATAACAATTTCGTAATCTTTTATACAACTTTTGCATTTTTTATAATTTCCAATTTTTCTTTTTGAATATGTAACTCTTTAACATTTAACTTTCTATTATTCTATATGTAACGAAAGTTACACATTTTGGATTGAAGGGATGCCGTAGAAAGAGAAAAAGGATTGACCGAAAATAATAAGGAATAGAAAGTTTCATACCCATCAATAAAAGTTAAGAAATTTATGTTAAAAGTTATAGGAATTGGATTGTTAGCTCAAAACAAGTGAAGTTATACAGGCTAATAAGCAGATTAACATACTATTCACGGTAGTGTTCTCGTCAAAATCTTAAGAAAATCCTAATACTATACCGTAAAAGATAGACTTAATATCAATTTAGTCTATTAAAAAGTAATTTTAATTATTTAGCTCCTTAAAGAATAAATCTTCAAGATTTTAGCTCATCCTGTCATTTCAATTTAACATCGTTAAAATAATTTTTACGTAATTTCATAATATTGAAATATTCAAATGTTTACAGTTAAAATATTTTTATGTAAATTTTAAATATTTACTTATCAAAACATCTTATTCAAGTTACACATCAAAATAACAGCCACAATCTTCAAATATAATATTTAAAACAACTCAGGTAAAAAAAAGTTACCGTAAAGCACGCACTTCAGTATTTTCCCGTCAAATATTTTTATTTAATTATACTATTTTTATTCTTAAAATAGAAGGCTTGAAAAGATAAAATTATGGGTGCTTGAGTCACACCAATTTGTTATCATAAATTTTTTAAACAAAAAAAACTTTCAAAGTGAGCTTATTAATAAAGCACACAAGTAAAATGTATTTACATTAGAATTTTGATAAATTAAAATAATACACTTTAATAAATTGTAAGAACAAATACAATCTTATATATAATTTATAGGCAAACTCAATTTAAACAAACAAATTCATATAATTTATTGGAAAGAGGGGAAAGATATATTTTCAAAATTTTGTTATTTAAATATTTTTTTCTTTCCAATTGGAACTGTTAGATACACAGCTCCTTAAAAATGTGTACAAGTTGAAGTTTATAAACTATCTCATTAGGAATATGTTGTTGTTGAATGTTTTTCTCAGGCACATATTTGCTAATTTTTTCAAAGTTTTTTTACCCGATGTCTCATTTATAACATGTGGAAAATAATAGTATCCAGTCTCAGCTTAGTTAAGCAAATTACTTTTCTATTCAATTTATTTTATTCTGCTTCTGACATCTCTAGTGGTCACTTAAAATAACCCTAAAAATATTCATAAAGTCTTAGCATAATAAATAATTCTCCATATAGGCTTCCAAATCAATGAATTTGATCCATTAAATTTAAGCATGATGCTCAAGTTACCTTCGATTTCAATATACAGCACAAACACGAAAGTTACAAATCAAGGTTCTTTATACCAATTTGTCGGGGTCGAACAAATAGATTAAATGCAAATTATTAAATCACTTTGCACACTCTGCACTTTTTTAAAAAATATATATATATTATCTAATCATCGATGATGCAACTAGTCATTATGGGAGCGGCTCTCCTTATACTGTTTTCTCCATTTTTTGAGACTTCTGATTAAGAAAAATAAATATCTTATCACCTGAACCAATGAATCATCGGAACAGTGACCAATATTGTGCCACTGTTCCCACACAAATATATCAAAATAGCACGCGCGTGAACCAATTACCCAAACTGCCACACATGCAAGGTCGCTTGGAGCAGTAGCGAACTACGCATGATGAGGTGTCAGCAAGCTGGTGGTGTCAGAGTTCGCTTCTGACACAAGCGAACTTGTCTGCAATAAATGCTGACACGTATGATGAGTTCACTGAAGTGCCAGGCGAACTTAATTTGCCACGTGTTAGACCCCTACCTACGTCGCTGGGGTCCCAGGCGAACTAGGTGACAAGTGGCAGCCACTGCACTAGTTCGCTTGACAGGGAAGCGAACTTGGTGACACGTGGCAGTTCCCCAAAAGTTTGCTGCCTAGGTAAGCGAACTACATACCGACAGTTACAGGTGGCCCAGGCAGCGAACTCAGTGTTATATAAACACCCCTCATCCTCTTCTCCCAAAATCAGTCTCGTCCGTTTTCTTAGAAGAAAATTTCCATTTCTGTTTGTTTTGCTTTGTCTATTTAAGTACATAATGAGTGAGAATAACAACGATGTAATATGCCTTTTATATTACAATGGGAGGAGATATTTTGGACCGAACGGTCAAGTGTTTGAAGGAGATACGAAGATCTTCCGCATGAGTCCGCGTTGCAAATATACTGAGCTCAAGAAAATAATATACAAGAAGTTGAGATTACAACGAGGTCAATCCTTGTCTCGACTGATTGCTAGATGTGCTTCTTCTGGTAACCCCGTGCAATGGGTTGTTGTGGAGGTGGTTGAGGATGAAGATGTGTCACTAGTAGTTGATGCATTTCGACAGCATGGAGAGTCCTCATACATCGAGTTATATTACATATTATCACAATTTATTAATAATTCAACATGTAATTATTATTTTTTATATACTCTACGTATCACTAACCTCGTGGTTGCGCATACGCACAATGTGATAAAACCCAACCTGCTGCAAGTAAGGACGGATATCATCGGGTATATTGAAATTATCCCATGTACCAGCTTGTCTGACGTTGAGGACACGATCATCTGAATTTACGTTAGCAGATGTGTTCCATACATGCGTCGAAATGTGTTTGTCCTGCAACGTCAGGAGAGAGAGCACCTTTGGACCAGGGTCAATGAAGGTCTGGTGCGGGTCTTGTTGCTCCATGAATCTATTTAAAAATAATAAATACAAAAATTATTAAGAAATAAATAAATTTTCAAGTTTAATTAATTATTTTATACTCCAAAATCAAGTAAATATTACATACTAGAAAATAACAAAATAATGTTAATTCATTATTTTATTTTTTTGAATATCAATGTTAATTCATTATTAGATCACAAACAATTGACTAATAAAAATACAACAATTGAATTATAAAATACATAATTAGACACATTAAAGTATACAACAATTGAATAATATAATTTATATGTAATATAATATATTACATATAAATTATATTACATCTAAAAATTAAATAATTGCATACAAGGATATATATTATATTATACAAAAATTATATAAATGCTAAAAATAAATACTAATTACTAATAAATAAATAAATAGATAACTACAAACATTGTGTGGTAAAAGAACTTTGTCACATTTATTTGTCAATCCTATAACTAAATCATTATTTTTTAATTCAAATATTTTACTTATTGCATAATCAAAATTTTATTAAATACAAAATTTAACAAAATTAAAATAATTTTTTTCTAACCTAGATTCCAAGCCTATAAATAATATCAAACAATTAATATTATTAAATAATACATTAATAAAAAGTACTACACCTAATAACATTAACATACATATTATATAAGTCAATGTTCAAAATTTTCTAACATATTTTTCAATCCAACAAATAAGTGATTTTATTTAATTCAATACTATTATTTATTGCATATTTAACAATTATGTTATTAAATACATAATTTAACAACATTAAAATATAAAAATCTAACCTAAATCCTATTAATAAATAATGCATATAAAACAATTTATTAAATACATTAATTAAAATATAAAATATTTAACTACTAACATTAGCATACAATTACTAAACTATTAATATTAGACTAATTCAACTAATAAAATAAATA